GTTTTCAATGGTGTGGTGCTGTGGGCTAATGTGTCAGACTGCAAAGTTGTTTGAACTGCCAGGTCAGTGGTTCAAGCTCACCAGCTTCTCCTTGGAAACCCTCTACAGGGTCGCTATAGATCAGAATCAACTCAATGGCACTTAACAACAACAACAACCATTTATAAGTGATCCACCTCTCAGTCAGGAAGCACCACTGAAACCTGTCCACCTTGAATGATCATACTGGTAATTAAAATACCAATTAAAATCACATAACACACCTCAGTAAGACAAATTGACAGAACAGTGGTGGTCAGTTATAATAATGATGACTATATGGCTGTAAGTGGGTGGGCTTCATCTCACTATACTGCAGAGATAATAGAAAGTAAAAGACAACCTCAGAACCTTTGAATTCTCAGCTTGTTTGCAATCAGAAAGTTTTCACAATGAGTGAATCTTTTATTTCTTCCAACTTCAGACAGATTTTGATTTTAAAAATCAGCTAAAATTTAATTTGACAATTATTATGTAAGTTGAATTCACAGGCTTGCCAAGTCTCTTATGTGAAAGTACGTTCTTAGAAAATAAAGGGAAGGTGAGACTTGGAATGACTACATTTGAGTGTACTCATAGCAAGCTGAAATTTGAGCTACAAATCTGTCTAATTTTTACTTGCTAGCATAAGCAATCCATATTCTGCTGTCTTAGATTATTAACTTTTTTTTCCTTATAGACTCTGGGGCAATTAGCATATACAATTCTGCCTATTTTCTTTTTTTAAGCTTTTGTGTGTGTGTGTGTGACTCGAGTGAAGGTTTATAGAGCAGATCAATTTTACATTAAAAATTTAAAACATGTTTTGTTTCCTTTCATTATAATATCCACGGTGAAATATCATTTATCCCATTTCTTCCCATGGAAAGGCCCATCACTCAAGATCAAAAAGACAACATTTACCTAAGGACAAAGTTGAGAAGGGATGGAAAGGAGGGTGGAATGCCGATAGGAACAACAAAGAGGAAGTGGGATAACTGTTGTTGCATGGAGGTGATTGCAATTGGTGAGATAAAATAATGTGTATGATTTATTGAATTAACTGATGATCTTCTCTGTAAATCTTCACTAAAGTCACAATAAAACATTAATTAAAAAAAGGAATGAAACATATTTCTTTACATACATTAATTAAATCACAATGATGAGTAAATAAAAAAGCAATGTGAAGAAAGGATCATGTGCTATGATATCCATTATATATTTTAAAAGTTGCTGTTGGTAAGTACCTTTGAGTTGGTTCCTACTCATAGTGACCCTTACAGGGTTTCTGAGGAGCAGCTGGTGAGTTTGAACCACTGACCTTGTGATTCAAACTGACCTTGCGGTCCAGTACATTATTCTGAAGCATCATACCACAACTCCATACAGACACAGAATATTGTTGTTGTTAGGTGCCATCAAGTTGGTACCCACTCCACTCATAGCAACCCTGTGCACAGCAGAACAAAACACTGTCCAATCCTGGGCCACCTCACTACTGTTGCCATGCTTGAGTCCATCGATGCTGCCACTTGGCCAATCCATCTCGTTGGGGGTCTTCCTCATTTTCTCTGACCCTCCTGATATCATGACCCACATGATGTCCTTCTCCAGTGACTGGTCCCTCCTGACAATATGTCCG